CGGCTAGCGCAGATAGCCCTCGTGTAGCTTTGCGCGAAATTCAAAACAAACTATAAAGTTTATATACATTTATTGTTCTCTGGCTCAACAAATAAATTCAGAATAAAAATAGAAAGGTATAATATATCTTTACGCCTGCAATGATCAGTTCTGACCATGTACAATCAGTAACAGATGGTTAAGACTAAGGAGTCACGAGTCAAAAAAGCAGCCTGACCTATTCCTTTTCTCATTATTATTCTTTTTTCCACAGTGTTAAGTTGAAATAGTTGGCATTTTGCGAACTAGAAGGTAGTTAGTAAATAGTAGTGTCTTATGCTGCAGTAGCCTTACTTCTTTTGGGATCTTCTCAATCTTTGTATCTTTTGATTTCTTAGCAGTAGGTGTGAGAGTGACCTTATATGCAATTCTAATTTTGCTTTGATTTATCTTTAATCTAAGGTAATGATATGGAATGTTATGTACTTCGATTTAATTCATTTTTGGTGTAAAATATACATTATAAATAAGAAAATCTACATGTGAATATTACCGTGTGGGTTGATTGCAATTGCTGGTATAACATCAGGCTCTCTCGAGTCTGTATTGTCAGTGATATCTTCCACATCCTTTTGTATCAGAGTGTGGTCCCTTGGTGAAAAACAAAATAATAAAAAAAATTATATATTTCTTTGTTCACCTTTCCTTTGTTTTTATTGATGTTTAAGACTTTATTCTCAGATAGAAATATACAAGGGAGTCTTCTTGCAAAGTGATTATCAAGATAGCAAAATAACCTCATAAATAGATGAAGTCTATAACCAAGGTACAACTGAATCGTCAAAATATATTTCTATCTATCATTTTATATTCAACATTGAAATTATGTTGTAAGAGGATAAACAAGTAGAAGTTAAATCATATTTTCCCTATTGTATTTTATAAATCAGAAGCATTAGCAGTGCCTAGAATAATATTTATATTACTCAAGAAAAACTTCACAATTTATCATATGTATGTGTCACATCTTATGTAGCTATCGTATATGCAACATGGCAAATAAAGATTTATTTTTATTAAGCTCTTAAAAATATGTGTTTTTTATGTTCTAGTCATGATTTGAAGCACTTATAGTTATTTTGAGATAATTTTTGAAATATAAATCATATATTTTTATTCGCACTTTTAAAAAACCACGAGGTACATATGGTAATGAAGAGGCATATCCCCCAAAAGCGAGCCATGACGCTATATACGATATATTTAACAACTATATATTTGTATCTTGGACACTTTCTGACTTTTCGACAGTTCAATGCTCCCTTGGATAAACATATTTATAAGCATGTTTCATTCAAGATATTGTCGTTTAGCCAACTTGCTGAACGATTTATAGCAGGGGATTTCCACCTGTATTTATACATTCATTGGGTTGGGGTTCTCCATCAGGATGTAAAATGTTCTGGGGGCCTTATGTTGAGAATGTTTGGGAACACCAGAGCCAAAGAGAAGACTCTTTTCAAAAGAGAGATCCATGTGATTTGTGGAAGTGCAAAAAAATTACATAATTTAAGACAGCAAAGTGCTCTGAAACCAACTAAACAACAACAACAAATACGATCTAAGTAAAGGTACAATGATTACAAAGGCGAACCATCTGGATGAAACACGTATTGTTATGAGCTGGTTATACTTTCTGGTGATATTAACAATGATTTTGAAGTTGAGGAAGACTCACTAGCTTTCAGACATTTTTCGAAAGCATCGGTTGTATTCATAAGAAAGCTTGATAGGGTATGTGGATAGAATACTCTGTGGGGTAAGTAGGGAGAAAAGAATCAGATAATGCTACCTAGGGGCATAGGTGGATGATATAACTGACACAGCAAGAGATATAACAAACGGGGCTAACATAGATGAAGTTTTTGTAGTGCCTGTAAGAGCTAATGATGTAGGGAAAGGTAGGTCAGAAGAGCTAATTAATAAGCATAAGGAGTTTATAAAAGCACTTAAACAGCCATAACTTAATTTTATCAGAGATACTGCCAAGAATTAACTGTGGGGATGAAGTTATAAGTAGGTCATAGGCTTAGGTTAGTATGTAAAAATGAGCAGATTGGCTAGTTGGACTTGTGGGATCAATTCCGTGGGAGAAGTAAGTTTTTGCAATGGATGGTTTACATTTAAATAGAGTATGGGCTGGCTTGTTTACTAAGGCTATTAACTCAGCTGTAAGGGAAGTTTCAAACTAGTACTAGACAGTGGTAAGGGCTAGGAAAAGCTGAATGCAAAAGAAATAAGAGGCAGAAAAAGGTTAGCATAGGAAATGAGTGTAGAAGTAGTTATAAAGATAGGCTTAATTGTTACTATTCTAATACTAGAAGTATAAGAAATAAAATAGATGACTTTAGAACACTGGTAGAAATAGAGGATTTTGCTATAATGGGAATAACTGAAACATGGTTAAACATAGATGATTTTGATGACAGAAGGTTTTTTTGAAATACAAGGTTACAGGCTATTTAATAGGGATAAAGTATTAAAGAGGGAAGGAGAAGTGGCTTTATGTGTAAAAATGTGAGTTGTCTCCTGTTGATGATGAGGATATCAAAGATAATAGCAAAGAGATTGAATCCATTTGGGTTTCTATTAGTCGATATAAGGGGAAAAGGCTTTTAGTGGGAATTTGTTACAGACCACCAAATGATACTGATGAAATTAGTGAGAAACTTTATAATGAGATTAAGATTTCAGCTGTAAATGAAGTCATAATTATGT